AACCCTTGCCCGGCCTCCGCCGCCGCCCCCAGCACCCCGGGGCGTTCCTGGCCCGAGTTCGGATTTCGTCTTTCAGATTCTCCGGCCTCTCCGCCCTGGCCGCCTCCCAGTGCCTGCCCTCGCCCTCTGCAGCTCTGGAATGCAACAGTTTCTTGCAGCAATCTGGCCATCCCAAGAACTGCAAGCAAGCAATTTTTTTTTTTTTTTCTATCATCAAACACTTTTCTCCCTGTATTCAAGTTTTCCTGAAAATCTGGACGGGGAGGACCTAGTATGGCAAGTTTTAACTCTGTAGTTGACCTGCCAGGGTGACAAGGGGCAGGCGCGGGCAGGAACGTGGAAGGCATCCCACTGCGGTGTGCCCTGTGCGCTCTCTGAGTTTGGATGCGTAGTGGACCAGTTGTGGATGGACCAAGATGGGCTGTAGCCTGCCCGCAGGCCTGAGCTCTAGAGGAGCGCATCTCAGTTCCCTGAAGATGTCACTGCGGCCCACACCCTTGCCCACCAGTCCCGAAAGCCTTGTCACGTTGGACCGTCCCTCTGAAGCACCCACGTGCCCATCCCTGGCCCCAAAGGCCCCATTCTCCCATGTGTTACGCATTAAACAGACGCAGAATGACTTTTCCCGCCTTCGACACGTGGCTTTAATGTATTGAAAATTCATCTCATTATCACCTCTGAATTCCTTCCCGCATTCAACCAAAAATGTTTGTGAGACACAACCTTTCCTCTCTCTAAAAATAAGAAAATGCGCCACACACCCAGGTCTTGGCTTGTCTATTGCAGCAGAATGACCTTCATGTGATGACCTAGTAAACTTTTCCTTTTAAGAAACACAGGTAAGTGTGACCAAAGAGATCCCCCAAAGTTAAGGGCAGAGACCTCTGGCCTGTGGGAGCTGAGCGGTGCCCGGCGTTGACTGTCCCACGCTGCTCACGTTTTCTTCTTTTACTTTCTTGTGAACACCGCGGAGGACAGGCTTTTATGCCCACAGAGAAGGCCCACTATTAAGGCTTCAGAACTTGCCATCAGGCAGGAAACCTGACTGTCTAGGTTTCCAAACGAAAGGCCGCCCACCTTGCGCTGGAGAAAAGCAGGCAGCAAGGGCTCTACTCTCTGTCTCTGTATGTAGGGCTGTGACAAGGGACAAGAGAGCGCCACAGGCCACATTACCCGGCTGCTACCAGGGCAGGGGCCGCTCCCTTCCCAGGGCCTGTCCCGCCTCGGGCATGGGCTGCCTCACCAGGACAGGCTGCATGAAGCCTTGGTCCAGGTTATGAGATACCGTCCTTGTGGGAAAGCCAGGGAAAGAATGTGTTCAAATGGTGCGGCCTCGCCTTGAGACATCTGCTAGGCGTGAGGAGGAGACGGGGGAGCCTGGGAAGGCAATGGCTGTCTACAGCCGCCAACCTCCAGCTCTGTGCTGGAGTGGGACCCTTCCCTCCGGGGCACACCCAGCCCTTTCTGGGACCCCAGTTAGCCACCAGCTAACTGTCACTGCGGTTCCTGAGAGCTGTTGGGCCGCAGAGGGTGCTATTACTGGAACAAAAGTGTAGACTGAGGAGATGAATTGCCCTAGAAGCATCTACAATGTAAACAGCAGCGAGGACGGGTCGTGTACACGCAGCCGCACAGAGTGGGGGAGGGGAGACGCAAAAATCAGAACCTCCGGAATCAAAATAAACAATGTTCAGAGAGAAGAGGCTTTCAAATGGGAAGTGGAAGCTCAGTCTTCATGGGTGGCTTTCACTCGCCCACTTGTCCCCACTGATCCCTTCACTGCCCCCCCAGGCAGCTACACTCATCACCGGCTGGATTTTAACCCCAGGCCTGTCCACACCCTTATTATCTCGTGCAGCAGCAGCAGCAGCAGCAGCAGCAGCAGCAGTGGAGGGGGGCACTGGAAAGCCCAGTTTGGTTTGCATCTTCTCAGTGGCCGAAACAGGTGCTGGGGTCACCTTGGGCCACTGCCCCCATCACCATCACTGCCATCTCACCCCTGCCCTGGCCTCTTCCCCCAGCTCCATATTTAGGGGGACATTTTCCATCCAGCTGGAGGCTGGGCCAACTGCTGAGAAGCCTGCAGCCCTCCACAGCCCACGGGCCTTTGCTACTTGTTGATCATCTGTCTAGCGGACAATCCAAAGCCTTTTGCTGATTCCCAGCCCCTTTCTCAAGATAGCACAGTTTTCCATTTTCCTCTCCTCCCAGGCAGCAGCGCGATCATGTGACTCGTTGTAATCCTGCGTGGTTGCCTGGAAACTGAAAAGCAAGGTGATGGACTTCTGCACATGCTCCCTTGCTCCCCCGCCCCTTCGCTTGAAAGCAAAACCCCACGGAGGAGCTAAGCAGCCCACTTGGCCAAGTGTGAGCAAGTTTACTAAAGCACACGGTGATCCTTTGCTAGGCTGAAATCCTCGAATCCCAGAAAACGAGGACCCGGCCAGATCTCTGACCCCCTCGCTCGTCAGCACCCCAAAACCACCGCAGTAGAGAAGCTGCACCCGCACAGTCTACAGAGTTGCTGAGACCGAGGACCGTTCTATCTGATTCAGCAGCTTCATTTTTTCCGCTTTGGAAAAGTGCCGCTTAAGACAATGCAGCCTTGTGTAGCGGAGACCAGGTGACCTTGCCTATGTCGGAGGGTTACCTCACCGCACCAGGTGACCTTGCCTATCGCGGAGGGTTACCTCACCGCACCAGTGCCCTTGCGCACCTGCAGGAGCTAAACCTCTCCTCAAAAGGCCCTTGTGAGCCGAGGAACAAAGAGAATGCGAACGCCTGGCACATGCTTGGCACAGACCAGTGGCTTAAAGGTGATGGCGGTTTTGCTTATGTCCACATTGGCAGTCAAACTCGGGCAGGTGCGGTGGCATTTTCCAGCAATCCCAGCACTCGGGAGGTTGAGGCAGGAGGATCACTGTGAGTTCGAGTCCAGCCTGGGCTACAATGTGAGCTCAAGGCCGGTCTGAGCCGCATGGTGGGTGAGACCCTGTCTCAAAAAGACAAAACAAACAAACCCACGCTTTCATGCGGTACTAGGAAAGTGCTCCATTGTTGAGCTGTCCCCAGGCCCAAGGTGGCTATTTCTACAGGGTCACCTTCCCTTCCAGAACCTCCTATTCCCCTTTCTGAGAGGAAACTCCCTGATCACACAGCAGAGGTACGCTCCAGCTAGGAGTCGCTGGCCCCCCCAGAACGCTGACCAGCAGGAAGCCTGCAGAAGAAGAGCCCGAGAAAGTTTCTCCTTTCTGCCATCTTTCAGTGACTGTCCTGCCCTGGCCGAAAGGCAGTAACTGAATTTTCCAGCCCAGATGGTGCTTTTCAAGTGTTACTTAATCCAACCCATCAGGAAGCGAGAACGCACACAAAGCCAATGGAGCAAAAGTTCCCCGGGCTCACCTTGCCCACTTCAGGGCTGAGCTAGAGCTTCTCAGGGTCCCCGTGCCTGGCCCATCCTCTTTTTCCACCACTACAGG